AGCATGAAAAACTAAGCCGGTTGGCCGTTTAATGCTCTGTTCTATCTCATCTAGTTCCGAAGTTATACGCAAAAATGTGCAAAATATAGATTGCCGATTCAGCACAACGTGTGACGTCATTAGTTGGGTAAGTATGTTTATTAAATAGTAAACTAAAGCATAGCTAAGTTATTATCGGCTCAAATCAAATGAAATTTTGCATACAGATAGTACATGATTAGACGCACGGGAAAATACTTCTAATTTTGTTGTCAAGGCAACACAGTTGTTCTCAGGCCGCTTACACTTATTTTGAATAACTAGTTGCATTTATCTATGTGTATGTCATTTTCGAATTATTATCATGCAAGTAAACTTTTGGAATGCATAGGTATGGTACACATACTTCTGATATTATTTTAACCTTATCAGTACCATGAATAAAGCTGTTTTATAAAATTGGCGCAAGGGGCCTGGGAACGATATTGTTACCTTGGCAACAAAATTAGAAGCGTGTTTCAATGCGTATCATCATGTACAATCGGTATACAAAATTTCATTTGATTTGGGCCCATAATAACTGAGCTATGCTTCAGTTTACTATTCAATAAACATACTTACCCAACTAATGACGTCACACGTTGTGCTGAATCAGCAATTTATATTTTGCACACTTTTGCGTATAACTTCGGAACTAGATGAGATAGAATAGAGCATTAAACGGCCAACTGGCTTATTTTTTCATGCTCTTTCAGATGAAGAAATAAAAAGTTTGGTTGCCAATGTCCTTTAATATAATAATAATATACATAAAGATATTACTCGATTGTGATTGGTTGATTTCAGTGCAGTTAATCCCAAACAGCCGTGCAATTTTCTGTAATCACAGTGCAATTTTCTGTAATCACAGCGCAATTTTTTGTAATCACAGTGCAAAAATTGATATTATGCCCCCCCCCCCTTATTTTACATTTTTTGTCATTTAAAAAACTAGACAACGCGGCTGTAGAAGATTAATACTTGAGGCTCATAGTCATACTCAATTTTTGTATGAAAATAGATTGCTTGTGGCCTAAAATAAATAACCTCATTGTTAGAAGCTAGGATAGATAGCAGACGGCCGAACTAACCCTATACAGAACTTTAAAGACTCGCAAAATTGAGCACAAGTATAATATTTTTACAGTGTAGAAGAACGTTCCTTTCGATCCCAATTTTTCTGAGCTGGAAAGGAAAACTAGCTGCTAGCACGAAAGTCAAAATCATCCCAACCCCTCTGTTACATTCTTTCTGCAGTGCCCCCCCTCCCCCCCCCTAGAAATTGAGAGCCAGCTACGGGCTTGCCGCAAATAGCACTCGCTCTTCGGACTCGTGCTATTTTGAGGTCTTTGAAAAACTCACTCGTGCATGTTATATCCATGCTATTACCGATAGCTCGAAACCATGCTATTACCTATACTAACACCTAATTGTTACAGATTTATTACTTTTGCATGGGTACAATTAAGCGGCGCGAACACGTCTTGTTGATAAGGCAGTGAGATGTTTACTGGATAGTGCTTGATAGTTGTGTATATTTATGTCAGTTTCTCAAGGTAACCATGGTCAAGGAGTAACGGATGGTCGTGTAGATTATGGATCATTAGGTGCATCCTCGTCAATGCCTAATCATGCTAAACAGTTCACTCGTCTTTTTCACCCCTCGGAATCTTGGTGTGCAAGGCTGGAAGACGACGACAAGTACTTTGTAGTGCAATTCCCTGAAAGCAGAAAAATTATGGGAATAGCCGTGCAAGGGCATCCGCTGGAAAATAAATTTGTAGTCAAAGCGAAGATAGAAGCTTATGTTAATGCAAATTGGGAAATTGTCCATGAAAAAAATAATAACGATGTAAGTTGCATTGTTTGTAGACCCATAACCACGGTTGTAATAGTAAACCCGTAGGCTAGTGTTCACAATCAATAATTTGAGAATTAATTGATGTTTTTACTGGTCACAACAGATAGAAGTATATATTTGAATATATTTTTTATTGTCTAGCCAGCCAGCCAGCCAGCCAGTCAGTCAGTCACATTGTATAATACTTTCCCAGGGTGTTAGCTACAGTAAAAAATTCCGCGTTAAACGCGGTTCTCCCAATTACCTTGAGGTCGCTATTTCCCAATTTGGGTCAGCCAAAAAATAGCATAAAAATTCAATTATTTTTTCCACATCTGACAATAGACCAGTACCGTATCTTGCCGTCCATCTTGCCGTCAATATGTTGTTAATACACCATTAAAAACATGTTTATAACTACATATGCTCAAAATTACTCCCAAAATGCGGGAAATGCCATTTCAAAGACACAAAGAATTGTCGCGAAAAATTTTGATGTCCGAAAAAATTTTTGGACCCCTAAAATGGTACATTGACCGAAGTTTTTTTGGCGATGGTAGGGGGGGGGGGGGCGGGGGTCGCCCAAAAAAATTTTTTCCGAAAAAAATTTAAAATAAATTTCCCAATTTCAGATAAACGCGGATTTTTTTTACTTCTGGCTAACACCCTGTTTCCTATTATTGTATTTTTAGTATTTCACGTTCGAGCAAAAGGCTTCATATCAACAGTTTAGAAATGAGTATGTCGCAAGTAAAGTCAAACTTACTCCCTTGACTTGGTTCGACGAGCCATGTTTACGTCTGGAAATATTGGGCACTCAATGGCGTAAGTATACAAATAATAGTTAATGCATGTTTCGAATAATGAGTAAAGATGATTATGTAATTAAATAAACTTGCCCCCAGAAGAGATGGTTCTTCTTATGATCCATGTGTTGATAAACACAGCAACAAAGGGTTATTTGTGAGGACAAATAGTTACAGTAAGGGTCAGATCTTGCGTCAATCTTATCAAAAGTTGCAATGTTCAACAGAAGGAATAGTCTCGTATTCGCACAACGTCCATGCAAGTAATAGGAAATCTCAATGGGTACATTTTGCATATATACAACATAAATTAAGTTCACTAAATGTAATGAAAAAGTCACTGCATTTGTTACAGTTAGTTAAAAAGTAAGTAATATATACAGCATGGCAGCAGTAGTAGCTGTGGTATATCAGATAAATAAATTCGGGCCGAAGGTAAGAGGTTATAAAATAGGTCTGATAAAAGTCGCATTTTAGAAAATTATCCAAACACAAGGGTTGGATTTTGAACTGAAAAATCCAGTGCATATACAAGCGCTCTCGTTATCTTGCGATTTCATCTCAGCATATTTTTTTTCTCTTTGTATAGATAACCATTTTTCCTGGACGACATATTTGCTAGAAAACAGCACAAATGTGCAATATTCTGCAGCTGAAAAGCAGAGCTAAAACGCTGTGCATATTCCAAAATCAAGTGCAGTAAAGTTTCATGATTTTAATATTCCATGTCTTGCAAAACCTGAAGCCTGCCACGGAAATTTTATGCTCAAATTTGTCCTTTCTTTTACGAATGAAACCGACGAGGGAATTATTTTCAGCACTTCTGGTTTTAATACAAGTGTTGTCGGTACTTCGCTGTTCCTTAAAAATTCAAAACTAATTGCTAGCATACGAACTAAAAGTAGAGAATGGAAAGTCTCAGCGCCTATGAACATGGCTGTCAATGCATTTCAAATTATTAAAATAAACTGGGGTTATAACGAAGCTATTAAATTAACGATAGGCACGAACACTTACATTGAAACATATATGACAGTTTCACATATCCCTGAGCCTGGTGAGGATTTAAATGGGGTCCTCAATGTTGGAGGTATTGATATGTTGTTGCGATTCAGTGCGTTTAAAGTTGAAGATTATGACGGCGAATGGAGTAAAAGAATGCAGTATGGAGGTAAAAATACTTAAGCGCGATTAGCATTACATGATTATTATATAACCATCATGATCGCCATTCCGATCATAATTTCACCACCATAAACATCATACCATCATTATCATTATTATCATCACCTAACCTCATCACGGTTATCACTACTATTACATGCACTATCATCAACACCATCAACACCACTATTACCACCGCCATTAAGATCGCCATCCTCGTTACCATAATGACCATCACAATTAACACCGCCGACATTATCGTGACCACTGGTATTACTACCATTATCATTACCACCAACAGTATTACCACCATGATCATCACTACCACCACCCGCTGCCGTCACCACAATTATCGTCATCATCACCATAGTCGCCATCATTATTTTGACATTTTCTTGATTGAACAATTCTTTCCTTATTATAATATTAATTGACCATAATTGTCATCACCATAAAGAATATTCCCGACGACTTATATTTCGTTCTCCCACAGTTGATGGCTGGCACACAGAATGGGCATCATGGGGCTATTGCTCCAAGTCGTGTGGCAATGCCGGTGTCCAATACCGTTACAGAAGATGCATTAATCCCCCTCCTAAGTTTGCTGGATTGGAATGCCCAGAGAATACTTTGATTGAGACACGGCCTTGTCTGAAACCCTCGTGTGACAGTAAGTTGTGTTCCGTGATTTTTCCATGGGTAACATTTTCTTTACTATTTTAGGAAGTTTAACTTTATTTACTTGAGAAATAAATGTAAGGGAGCGGTCTTTAACAAAACACAAAACAAGTGTAACTCCAAAGATCTATAATATTTTTATATTTATCAACGTTTCGACTATATTTCTGTCATCATCAGGATAATGTTAACGAACTAAGTTGTACATCAAAAGCAGTATTTATGTGAAGAAATAGGACAAATATATAATTCGATTGATTGTTAATGAATTAGTTAAAAACATCAGAACAAAGGAACATGCATATCACCAAAATTTGAAATCCATCAGCACCTCTCTAATTGCGAACAGTTTCAACGTGAACACATTCCAGAGCTAAGTGTGATATTCTATTCAGCAATATTTTGGACAAAATCTTTTTATTAAGAGATTTTAGCCGCAAATTTAGACTTCGTTTGAGCATTTGTGCCCAATTAACCTCACTTTTTCCAAAGAAATTTCTTACTCAAGTAGTAATATACAGGCCGTTCGACCCGGATTTTTGAGGGTGCGTAATGGTGCGCTAATTAATATTCATACAAATGAGGGTGCGTAAGGATGCTGAGGGTGCGCTAATTAATATTCATACAAATGAAGGTGCGTAATGACGTCACTCATTAACATACGTCATAATTATATGCAATGACGTCACGCGGGCAGGTTTAAACACAATCGGGCGAAACTTGCTGACTACGCATTTTTCAGCGTCCTCCCCACGTGTATGATACAATACAGGGATTAATCTTGGCTTGCTATGATTGGATCGAGTCCCTCGCATTGCAAAATTGTGATCGAAATTAATATATAACACAGTTATAGCCGTACCTTTGCTCGGAAGCGATAAATTTCCACGAGTATATTGAAGGATTTTTCGTATGTTCCATAGCGAGGAATCTATTCGTCCCAAAAATCAAGACATATTTTAAACAGAACTAAACAGTTGCTAATCCCGGGTTGTCAACGTCGTTGTTAAGGTCAATATTTGCATGTTGTTCAACGTTCTTTAGCAAATCTTCTACATACATATATACTGTAGCTGTAGTGGCTGTAAGTACAATGATATTCATCATAAGTAAGCTTAAGAAGAATATAAGTTAGAATAGGCCCTTTCAAGGTTTATTTCGCCATATTGCCAGGGGTGCAAAACATTGGGGCGAGCGCGCGGCCAAGCCATGGCTGCCATATATTTTACTAATGAATGAGCGATAATTTTGTGTGGACATTTTGTTGATTTTCTCATGCTATATTAAAAGATAGTCCAAATTTTTGTATTATGGCTGATCTGTGTGCATTTTCAAAGTACTTGTAAATATTTCAATGGAATCTGATTGGGGGAAATGCGTGAATATGCTGATTTCTTCGACACCTTTCCGCGAGCTGTTTACAGTGGATTCACGACAACGAAACGCCGAAAACAGGGCTTTTACGTCTCTGTTTGTTTAAACAAAACAACATTAGAAAAGAATCATGTTTAAAAACAAGACAACAGAGCTGTATGGAAAGACGAAAGACGACCAAGTGCGAGAGTTTAACCTGATACCAATGTCAATCTCACTCACAGCGTTTTATGACATAGATATAAGAGATAAACTTATAAAAGTAGGCGAATCCAAAGAGTATATAATATTGAGAGGTTCAGTTGTTCTCATTGGCAGTACCACTCCCATAGCCAACTGAGAGCAAAATACAAGCAGAAGGAACAGTATCTACAATGCTGTTCAATAATCTTAAAAACCTGCTTGAAGTATTTGGTAAATTTTTGTGGCTATCAATCAAATTCATCAAAATAGCACAAGAAACTCATCAAAACTTTACAAGTGGTATAAAAGAACAAATTATGTAAAACATATTCTCTCTAATAATGGAGTTGAATCAGTTGATGTATGGAACTCACTAGAATAAAGAATAAAGACATAAACCTTCAACACATCTTCAAAAAACAAATTAAGCAGCATTCTTTTATGAAAACATTCTATTTGCATATTATTCTATTTGTATACTATTGTTCCTCTATTATTCTGAAAATTCTCTTTCTGATTTGACTTGTAAAATAAAATAATACATTATAAATCTAACAGTTAACTATAAACCTTTACTAGGGGCCTAAAGCAAAAATCCTGACAAAGTATCTAGTAGGTCTTTAGCCAAAATTAATAAAAGGGAAAATATGTAAATATTGTCCACGGAACTGTACATAGAGGAGAAAATTTAAAACTAAAAAAATAAATGATAAAGAAACTCTTTCATTGGTAGTATTTCTGTCCTCAGGTTTTCTAGGGTCAAATTCTTTCCTCAATGTTTAATCGCGGCCAGGATTTTGGTCTAAATATTAGATTTTTAACCTGGCTTGGATTTACTCCATCCTTGGGGAACACTGGTACTGGCAGGGGAAATTTATTGTTTGTTGTAAGCATAGTTGGTCTTATACATAGAGGACTGCAAGTATATGATTACATGCCTCAACTGTTCCAGCTGTTCAAGGACACACATCCACACTTTTATATGTGAGTCATCACAATTCCTTTGTGATAGACATACTGAACTTTACCAAAAAATGTCATGGTCTTGTCAACGGGGCATTTGGCAACATGAATTATATCAACAAATCCACTCATCCAATATGAGCAGGCCCTCTCATCTTTGTCCACTGCCTTTTCTCGTAGAATGTAGCATTCTATCATCAAGACGTGGCCATGTTTGAATGTCATCTTTCCAATATTCATCGCACAGAGTGTTAGGATCGCTCTAATAATATCATTAGTTTGTATCCTTTGTTGGTATTCCTTCCTGATTAATACTATCAAAAATTTGTTCCTGTGTAAATTTCTTTGGAGCACCCAATTCATACCCTTTAAATGCTCTTGCCACAAGTTCAACCTTTTTCCCACTCTGTCAACCCAACGAAATCCTCGTATTCAAGCTTCTTCTTTGTAGCCATAAACAGCCAAAGTAAAATGACTATTTGCAATATAATCCTCCTATGAGAACATAAAATATAAACAACTCAAACTCTCAATATCTCTCAATGTATACCCTTTGGATTCGCTTACTTTTATAAGTTTGTCTCTTATATCTACACGCGTAAAAATTGATCAGGTTGTTGCAACATTGTTCGCTGAACAACGTTGCAACAATGAGGTTATCATGGCTGAACAACGTTGTTCAAGCGACAATCGTTAACAACATTGTTCCAACAACTTGTTCACGCTTGATGAACGAACAATGGTTGTTGCAACATGATGGAACAAGCGTCCGACAAGGTTGATGAAACATGCTTGATAAATGTTGTCAGAACAATGTTGTTCAGCGTTGTTCATTCATCAGGCGTCAACAATATTGTTCGAACAAGCGTGAACAACATTGATGAAAGAACAAGTTGTTTTTAGTTGTTCGAACAACCGTGAACAGCATTGTTATAAATAGACGGTAAAATAATGATTTGAACAACACGAAAACGTGTTTTTATTGGTTGTTGCGAACCGCTGGGATGCAAAACGGACGAATGCCACGAATATCACGAGAGCAAGAAATCAAACGGGCTTTTACAGCAAAATAAATGTCGTTTAAACTTTGTGGTTTTTTCTGAAGATTGAGCATTTGAGGGGAAAATACTGAAGAAAATAACTTGGTAAGTGTCTTGTTTTGAGGTAAGGTTAGTTGTAAAAACTTAAAACAACGCGACCTTTTAATTTTAGTCATTTTCATAGTACACGAAGAAATGCACACGCACAAAGTTTATAGTACTTTTATATAGGTATTGCATTTTGATATTTTTCTCGATATTTTCAGTATAATGAAACAAGAAACCACGGTCATACTGTAATAAAAAGCCGTAATATAAACAAAACATTTAATTCTCAAAATATTGTTGAAATTTTTCCAATTGCACTTTAAATTTCTGTCAGAGTCTTTTTAACTTTGAATATGTCAAAATCATATCATATGTCCTCCGCCCCTTCCGTCCCTATTGTTGTTTGTAATTTTGATCACTGCTATATATAAACAATTCCTATTGTGTTTTAACAAGGTCAACCAAATATTTGATCAGTTTACACACCAAGAATGATGTATTTACTGCATATAATATGTGATGGATAGATTATAGGTAGGTAGGCAAGAGTGCATACAGTTAAATAATTAGCCATTTCTCATATTTCCTCATAGTTTTATTTCCTGGTTAAGCAGGTGACTATAATTGTCATGGAAGGTATGAAGGAGGTAGCCATGATTTTATCACATGGCTATGGGGGATAATTATGACCATTATTATGCTCAAATGTAATTATTGTCTCATTTTTATCCTTTT